CGTCCTCTCGCTCCCTTCGCAGCACACGGTGGACGAGAGCCAGGACAAACGACGCCTACGACACCTGAGTCGGATTCTGATGGTTCGATACGTCCGCATCCAGGTGCCTCGTCGTTCCGGCCGTCGCCGACGGTGGTCCATGGTCCTCGCGAACTTCTACAAGAATTTACCATTGCACTTCGCAATGCGTACCGTGAACCTTTCACGGCATGGACACAGGGTGAGCTGGATGAAATGGTGAGACGGAAGAAGGATAAAGATTCCAGGCCCACCTATAAGACCATTGCGCGGTTTCTTCAGAAGCCGATTGAGGAAGTCAAGCAGGCATGGAAGGTCTATCAACAACTTGAAGCTCGCGGCTAGCACCATGCCCGACAAATGCAGCAATGACCATTGATTGACCAAATGATACGCAGCGGCGGTGTGTCCGATTCGCGTTGTTGATCACATGATATTTGCTTGCTCGCATGTGAATCAATCTTGCTTGTCGTGTTGTGCAATGTCGTTGACATGCTGTGATGTCTTGCCTGAGTTGCTCAAATCATGTCGGAACAAGTTGTACAGACGTACATTACCTGGACCCATGGAGCGCAGCCGACGTGGTTACAATTTCATGGACCCGGGGCTCTACTCGACAGACCCATACGGTTAACTACGTCACCTCCGCCCCCGCCAAGTTTGCCATTGCTTCTTCCACCTCCTCCTCCACCACCACCACCACCACCGGTGATTCTTCACCCACAGTTTATGCCCTCGGTACGCAGCCCCACGATCTCAGCCCCTCGTGGACAATCCTGCCCTACCTCTTCGAAATCGCAGCGCACACGCCGCTCGATTCACAGCAGTGACCACTCCCGTGATGAAGAACCACGCAGTCCAGGGCCCTCGTCCAAACGATCTCGGACAGCATCAGCTTCGGCGCCGCGGCGATATCGACGGCCCTTTACAGTGTTTTATTCCAAACGTGCAGGCCGCCCATCGATATCCCCCTCGGCGGCGTGCAAACATTACTGTCACGCCATCCTGCGCCATGGACGGAAATGTCTTTCCCCTTGTGCTCGTAGACGGCCAGGTCACTATCATTGCAGGTGTGCGCGACATCAACGACAGTGAAAGCTAGGAGTCTGACATTTCCGACCTTGTTGCTGCGTTTCACCTTGTGTTTGAAAAGTTGCCTCACTCTTCAGTGTGTATGTGCGGTTTGCAATGCATGTGTGTCCTTGTCGCAGTCTTTCGATTGGTTCACAGTCGTACAAGCACGTATTGCTGCTATGAACCCCCAGTATTTCGAGTACCAGATCGATAGAGGAGTGGAATGGATTCGAATTTACTCTCCGGGCATTTGGAGGCCCGTTCCCGATGAGGCTCCTGTTCCTGACCCACTGTACGCTTCCACGTATCGGGAGTGGCGCAGATCATATCACTTCCAAGTGTACTGGTCTGAAGACAGCACCGGTGGAACAACAATGGACCCTATAGTCACGCCCAGTGCCTATGTGTCCTATCACGTGTGGGAGTACCGGGACTGGCAAACACGAGGTTACCAACGCCTTGGACCTCCTGTACAATCCATGGGATTCGCGATGCTCGTTAATGCGGACGTCGAGTCCTCGGTGGGCTCGTCGGTACCGGATGGGGCGTGGCGGGAACCGTCACCGCCGCCATTCCATGATCCTTGGAATGAGTCGGATTGATTTTTGAGCAGCATGTTGGACAAAGATGCGGTTGTGCTTGCTTTGTATGTGTGCTCACATTGGGTTGTCTTGCTTGGTGCTGTGCATGTCGTTTCAGTGTATCCGCCGCTTTCCGGGCTACCTTTGAGCAGCTTGTTGGGTTGAAATGTTCAATAGTACAGTGCAGGGTGCAGCACGATGGGACCTACCTCGTTATTTTGACTATGACATCGTTCATGGTCGAGCAGGAACGAGTGTGGAATGGATTCGAATCTATGTGCCGGATCAGTGGCATCCAGTAGCCCCAGACACCCTGGGACCGGCCCCGGATGACCCGACCGCCTATCGGGAATGGCGCAAGGTCTACCACTTCGAAGTGTACTGGCCCAGGGAAAGCACGGGCGGCACAACTATAGGCACGGCTCTGCAACCGGTATCCTATGCCACCTTCTACACTTGGTATTACAGGGACTGGGTCACCAGGGGGTATCAACGCCTGGGTCGTCCACATCCCAGCATAGCGAGGCCAGTTTTCGCTTCGGGTGCACCGGACCTCATGTATGCTGGAATGACCTCCTCTTCGGCATCATCTAATTCACATGATAGCTGATGCCCGTCCTCGCCTCCCTAGAGAGTCTGCCTGAGATGTTGGCGACGCACAGTGCTACAAAAGTGGTCTTTTGCCTTTTGATAGTTGAGTTGCTTTCACTTGTTGTTGTCTGCAGCCGTACACCTATCAACTTGTTTTTCCGTGGTTGCGTTGTCATGCCGTGGCTGGAATGGTGCCCAGACCCGCAACAACCTGATGCCCAGTGGGTCAAGATCTTTCATCTGGGACCATGGACGCCTCAAGAAGAACATGATGCTCCACCTCCTCCGCATACTTTCAGAGAATGGCGGGAGTTCTATGCTCCCAACCAGGACTCAGACGATGGGCAAGTCCAAGTCACTACGTGGTACAAGCGAGACTGGGCCACAGAGGGCTATCGGAGAATCGCTGCTCCTCACGCTGGTCATGAATTTGATTCCATGTATCCCTCCGATCACCATAACGTGGCCACGCAGTCGGCGGCGTTGAGTATATCGCCGGAGCTGTTAGACGCGATTCTCAGGTCCTCGGATGCGGCTGATTTCTCCACTGAAGAACTGATTCGTCTCCAGGAGGGGATTTCTCAACAACTGACGGCCCGCGCACGTCAGACCTCCCATCCTCATCAACCAGTACGTGCATCGCGTGGAAACACACCATCGGAGACGATTGGGGTCTCCGACCCCCACACGCCCGTGAATCCGTCCGACAGAGGCCAAGACAAGATGAGGCCCGTCTTCGAGCTGACTGACGACTAGCCGTGCATGAGCAGCGCAGCGTACAAAATAAGGGTGGCCTCTACACTTGCATGATCTTGCTTTGCTGTTGTTTGAACATGGTTGTGCATGGTGCTTGTTCATCTACTAGCTGGATCGGAGCCCGCGACCATCCTTGCCTCTTGCCTTGACATGGACATCGATGATTCCAAGCAGTATCCATGGCTCGAATATTCGGTCTGGCATGATCAGGAGTGGGTGCGGATATACACTCCGGGACAACCTCAACGATGGCACCGTGGTGACGCCGTACCTGATCTACCTGAAAACTCTTTTCGTGAATGGCAGCGGGTGACGGATCCCGAAGCGCCAGTCCAGGCATGGAACATCCGTGACTGGCAACACCAAGGGTACCAGCGCATTCTGTCTCGGATGGAGTCCTTCGCAACTCACGATTCACAGGATCAGACTCTTGGTCAAGGTCGGAACTCCGATGCCGTTCAAGTTGAGGAGACCTTCACCTATGCCACTCCGTTTTCTCATGGTGATCGCCAGGCTGCTTCACAAATCGCTTCAGTCCTCTATGGCGACACTCGCAACGCTCAACGTGGTGATCTTTCGTTCCCGTCTTCTGAGCGGTTTAGGGCAGTGTCTCGCTCCCCTCGCCGTGGTGGATATTTTGGTCAACGATAGTGATTTGAGTTTGAGCATGTGATCTTCCTGCAGGAGAAAAGAGAAACCTCGCCCCTCGTAGAGGGGCGTGTGTGTGCGGAGTGACAGAATGCCCTGTCACCACCCTTTCTATTTCGCAGCAGGGGCGTGCAGCACCTTTGGCATACTGCACGCAATGAAGCTACTGCCAAAGGTGGGAAGGGTGTCCAGACGTGGACACCTGTACCTGCGTCGTGATGTTGCTGAAAGTCCTTTTGGTCCCCTCCCTGAACCGCCGTTGTTTTGTGTTTCCCTGTTAAAGTACCTACAGGGAAGCCAAGTGCATTGCGAGCCGAAACTCATCGTACTCGAGACTTGTCGGTTGTACTCGAGACTCATCAGTTGTACTCGAAAGATTAGCACTCTCCATCTGGAGTTCAAGTGTGTGTGTGTGTGTGTGTGTGTGTGTGTGTGGTGTGTGTGTGTTCGTCCGACCATCACCTTACAGAAAGGGGCGATCACGTCGTGTGTCATTTCTGCTGAGGATCTGCTGTAAAGACCCCACGATTCGCGAGTTTTGTTAGATCCGCACGGACGCCGTTCACACATCCCATAGTGCGCCCCTTCTGAGTGTCAAATAAAGCACAGCTTTCAGTTTGCAGTAATAGTTGTATTTGGTGTTACTTTGATCGGAGCCATGCATGCCAAGGGCACCCATTGGTCAAGACACCCAACACGTGCCAACTGGGGCAAACGTGCTGGCACGAAGCAGTGGTCAAGATTTGTTGATATTTGTTGTTTGTTTTTTTTCGCCCTATTCTTTCTGACGTGCATGTGTGTTTCAATGCTCGCTGCTGAAGACGCATATAGATCTGGGTGAATTATAGCGACCTCACACGACCTCACCCCAAATGGCGGTTTATGTGGGGAATAGCCCCCCAAGCGCCGCAAGTTTCAGGTTGCTGAAATATAATTCACCCAGTCACCCAGATATAGATCCTTGTATGTGGCAGAAGCTCGGCAGACGAGCGTCGCTGTCATTTTTAGGCCTTTGGCCAATCCTGTGTCGCGGATGTCCGATCAGCTTGCCAGCTGGGGCCAGGGGCTTCGATCGTTTCAACCTGCCTGGAGTCTCCTTCTGACCCGAAATTCCAAATTGGTCCATGACCCCTGGATTTTGGGTAACCAACCTTTTTTTAAAAGGGTCAGAAGGAGACGGTAGCTGTGGCCAGCAAGCGCTCTCATTTTGAGAGCTATGAAGGCTTAGACCAACGGTCCCAACTGAAAGGTGTTTGCGGGCGTATCTTCGCTGAGTTACGCTCGGTTGCGGTCTTTTTCCCCCCGACACGTTCGCGCGGTTTCCGCGTTGAGGTCCCGTGGACGAGCTCTTCGAGTTGGACACCTTCGCGTCGGGGCTGAACCCCTACTCTGTGCACGGAGTTACGGAGATGGAGCGGGGCAGCTTGCGCTACAGGAGCGCAGAGTGAGGGAGTTGCGCTTGCGCACTTTTTGGAGGAAGAAGAAAAGGACAGAAAAGGATAAGTGCAGGGTGAAGGAACGATGAAAAATGGAAGGTGCATCAGCCCAAGGCTGAGACACCCGCTGGTGGACCCGCTGGTGGTAGATCTTGAAATAGCGATGAATCATCGTGAGCCCAATTTTTGCAGAGATGGATGGACCTGCACGGGATAGGTATGGATCTGAAGGATGGATCTGGGGTTCAGGGTTTCCCGCTACAAAGCGGCATGCTTTTGGGTTTGCCATCGGAAGCTTCCCGGCCTTTGCAAGCATGGAGCTCGGCATGCAACTTCATTAAAAAGCCTTGTAGCCATCACGGGAAAACCGTGCCCCTTGCTCAGCACCACGGCAATTCTTGCCAACTTGGTGCAAACCCTCATGCCTTGCGGTAGGCGTGGGGCATGCGTCGTTTCGCCTGGTACCCAGCCAGGAAACATCCCGGCATCAACACGGGTGTTCGCGGCTCAGGACTTCGAGTCTCCTTCTGACCCTTTAAAAATGGTTTGGTCATTACCCAAAATTTGAGGGGGAATGACCCCTTCTTCCTGGGGTCATGGAGACTCCAGGCAGGTGTTGGAATCAGTTGCATTTTTTGTTGTTTTACATCTCACATCAGACAGCTGAAGAGACATAGAGGTCAAGAACACGCAACCCGTCCTTCAGCTTTGCCCACTCCAAACATGTCTAGCGCGGTCCCCTTGAGTAGTTTGAGCCAAGGAAAGGATGCCATCATGCAAGCGATATCGGTGTGTATGTTGTAAGGTTCCACTCCGCCCAAAATGGCGCAACGATTTTCCCTTTTGCTGTCCCGTTGAAACCATCCCAAAAGGGGAATGGCTGGGTTTTCCGCTTGGTTTCCCTTTGAAACCATCCAAACGAATTACTCTAAAAAAACAGACACACCCATATTTCTCGTCACAGGCCTTCTTGAAACATGCTGCCTGAGGGTCGGTCTTCTTCCTGATCCGGCTGTTGTACGGACATGTTGGCCCAATATCCATGATATTTGTGTGTGTGCCATTATTTTGTACTTGTCAATCGTTTCTGATGAAATCAATTTCCTTTCTTTGCTGAAAGGAATATTGTTTATTTTCCTCTGGTTTTAAGGGAATCAATTTCACTACCGGAAATATGTTTGCAACTTTTTCAGGGGGCTTATCAGCAAATCGAGGATAACCACCCAAAAAAGGGGGTCCGTTTTGTTTCCCTTCATAACTACCAAAAAAGGGTACCAACTCCCTGGAAGGACTGGACATGCTTTTCCAGGGGGCAAGAAAGCAAATAGAGGTTGGCCTTGGCTATTTGTTGGTACTTCAGGTGCGTCATTGGTTTGGAATCCTTCAGGCACTGAGATGCCAGATTCAAGGGAAAGGGAGAAGCGAAATCCACAAACTTGCAATCCCTCGAAAGTGTAAATCTGCTTCCATTTGCTTAAGAATTTTTTTTTTTTGCTCGTGTTGGTTTTAAAGGAATGTATCACTACAGATGTTTGGTGTTTTTGTTTTTCCAGGCGACTTCTCAGCGAGGTGCATTTACCAAGGTGCCATGCCATGTCGTTTGTGTTTTTGGAGCCAACGCCATGTGTCCCTTGGAATGTTACGAGATGCAGCTGAGGGTGATGTTGAAGCCTTCCATGGATCACTTAACAATGTTGAACCCTTCCATTACCCGTAAACCCTTCAAGTAACAATGATTTGTTGATTTATTTATTTTTACCTCGATTCAGATGTTCCTGGATCCTCACACTAGGGATCAAGAAGGGCTTAAACACTTGGAAGGATGCAAATGGTGTTTATCGACCTTTCGAGGTATGCTTAAAACGACCTTTCAAGGTGATGTTGCTGCAGCCCTCCGCGCAGCTCACGGAGGAAATGGCGCAGTCCATGGACTCCGGCGGGGAGACTTGGAGACCTCGGACGGGACGCGTCGCTTCTGGACGCGTCCGCGTCGCCCGGAGACGACGCGTCGGCCAAAAAGACACCGAGAACACCGAGCTCAGCGTCCGGGTTTTTGTTGAGACCGGTGCGCCTGAGCATTCACCGTTCTTGGCAAGTTGTTGTTTGGTGCGCATTTTTTAGTAGGGGGCTTGCTAAAAAACGACGTGTTTTATGTTTTTGCTACCATGCCAAGGGTTGCGAAGAAGCACGTGCTTGGGAGGAATTGCGGGTCACAATCATTCTCCCATTCGCAGATGTGCTTTGTCCCCGGCTGGTGGATGTTTTGTCCGCTGGGTGTGTTTTAGGGGTTGAAAAAGGAGTGGCTTCAGCTGTTTGTTTGTAGATGGCTTCCGCTGGTTTCAGCTCGGTTCTAATCATTTGGCGGCGCCAGCTGCTTCTAACAGCAGATCTACCTGGAGTCTCCATGACCCGAACCAGAATGGGTCGATGACCCATACCCATTTGCTGTCAAATCAAATCATGTCATGCGGGTTTCCCGCTGTGCCAAGATCGGCCCTCAGGTCGTTGACCTCAGACACGTCAATACATATTTGACACGCGCCCCTTTTTCATGTTGGTTTTGGGCACGCCAGCCACATAGAGCCGCATTGCATAGCTAGTGTGCATGAGTAAACACTAAGGGATCCTTCGCATGAGTGTCACAACCATCCCCCAGGATCCCGGATGAAACAACGTGCCGCACATGTTGCTTAAGCTTGCTTTCCATCCGGCCGGTAGAAAGCGTTGCAAAGAGGTACCGGAGTCCCCATATGTGCTTGTGAACAATAAAGGTATTTGATTTTCTAGGAGACAGTTTGAATACGCCTTTTTCTAAATATCACCCGTGTTTCCCCTGTCAGTCCTATTTTAAGTAGTAGTTCTCTTTCAGTATGCTACAGGGGTGAATCCACAGATTCGCCACATTTAAACTGTTTCCTAGACTAGGTCCACAAGTAGTGCCCTTCTCTCCCCTTTTCTGCTGGAGGGTTCCCCTTCTAGAAGAGACAACAGAGAAAAAAGCGGGTACCCTTATTCTAACCTCTCTACTGGAGGACCTAGTAGAGAATTCGGGCCATAAGTAAAGCCCAAACGGACGGCCAAAAAACTCTCTCTTGCATTGTGCTTGGATGTTAGGACTCTATTTTTGTTTTCCGTATTAAACCACTAAAATGGTTAGCCACTTTCAGCAGGGGAGCAGATTTCGCCACCGAGGAAAGTGAAGCCCCCAGTAGTGCCCCCGACTAAAAGAGACTACAGAACAACGGGTACCCTTATTCCAGCCTCTCCACTGGAGGACCGTTTAGAGAATTTCGGGCCTTAAGTTGAGCGCCCAAACGGAAGCCACTGCCTGGAGTCTCCTTCTGACCCGAACTAAAAATGGTTATTACCCCTAAAATAATGTGGCACTGGTTGGTCATTGACCCATTTTTTCTTCGGGTCAGGAGACTCCAGGTGGACGCCTTTTTTTTCCTCCTGGGGCCCGGGGAGTCGGCGGAGGGCGCTTGGACCGCACGGCGATCTCGGAGCACCTGGGCCAATCCGACCAGCCCTGGCTGGACGGATCCGGATCCGGGTGGTGTCCTTTGGCGGGTCGGCTTAAAAATGTTATGGGTCGGTTTGGGGGGGGAAAAAGATCTGCTTGATATTCTGAACATAGATGTTTTGGTTTGGGGGTGTCGTGGGTCGGTTTGGGATCTGCTTGATATTCTGAACATAGATGTTTTGCCGGAGTCCATCACCTACTGGGAGTAATTATGTGATTGCTTCCGTAGGGTTGCCTTTTGGGGGGGGATGCCCGGCCAGATCTGCCTGGAGTCTCCTTCTGACCCTTAAAAAATGGTTGGTCAGTACCCAAAAGAACGGGGTCATTCACCAATTTGTAAAGGGTCATGGAGACTCCCGGTGCGTGATATGCTCATCATAGATTTTTGTCCCTTAAAGGGAGTCCATCACTTCTGGAAGTATGTGATTGTATTTGTCCAAAAGCAATTGGGAATAGCCGGAGTCTCCTTCTGACCAGAATCAATGAGTCTTCTGCCCCATAAAGCACAGGGTTACTATCTTGTTACCCAAAAGACAGGGCTCCGTCACGGCCCCATGTTTGATTCGTGTCAGAAGCAGACTCCAAGAAAGCTTCGCAGCGGCAAGGTATTCCTTTTCGCAGCGATTCCATTTCCCCACAAGACAGCCAAGGGAACGAGCGTAACAAGCCAAGAGAGATGATGGCCTGTGTGGATCACCTGCAGGCCAATAAACTCAAGTGGCTGTGGTTGTCAAAACCAATGGGATCCTATTTTGGGGTGGGTGCACTACTCATTTTAGAACCTATTTTGGTGGCCATGGCCAAGTGAGTCGGGTGCATTGGGTTTCCCACTGCGCCCATGAAACCTTTCAGTAGGCGAGGTCCCCGGCCGACTCCTTGTCCAGATTCCAGATGGGTATGGATCAAAATTAAGCTGACCGCAGGTTTTAGTCCATGTTTCCATTTACCAGGGTTCCATTTTGGGTACCTATTTTTCACCCACTATTGGTCACCTGTAGGGTCTGAGATGGGTGATAGGTGAAGATTGAACTTTATGGCTAAAAGAGAGGAGCTCAGGTTATTTTGTTGGCTAGAGGGTTTTTTCTACTCGAACTAGACTACAGAAAAAAGTTGGTACCCTTTTTCCAACCTCTCTACTGGAGGACCTAGTCGCTGTACAAGTTGCGGTACACATTGGTGCCATGCACTAATTGGGAGCGCAGTACAGGCTGAGTGGGAAAGGCTGCGAAGGATCGCATTTGTTTCCAAACAGCTTTGTCCATCCATCGATCAGCGAATTCGGTGTGTCGTTTTGTAAGGGCACCCCCAAAATGGCTTCGCTAAAGAAGGGTACCGATAAACGAAAAGAACAACAACCCATTCAAATCTTGATGGGCTCGGTTTCTTCTCGAAATGCCTCATCCAGGACGCATTCTGGCTACAGAAGTCCAGGCGGCTGGGCACAGCCAGGCCTGCGCAATGCTGCCGACATGGATTGCGTCAAAATGGGTGGGTCAAAACCAATAGGATCCCATTTTGGGGTAGGTGTATCACCCATTTTAGTCTATTTTAGTGCGGAATTGGGATGTTCACTGGGGTACAGGATTTTGACCCATGGCCAAATATAGCTGCACCAGTGGATTTGCAGCAGGGAACAGACACGTCATGTCATCACAGGATCTGCTTGGATATTTAAGAGGGGCACCTGAGTCATATCCATGAGCCTTGGATATGTGGCCGTCAGAGCACCGGGAATGTTCAAGTGCGAATTGGAACTTATACGGAGCTACATGGCCGGTTTGTGTGTGTATATATACATCTGTATATCATATTGCACAACTAAGCAATAAAGCACCATGTATATGCGGCAAGGGGGCGTTATGCACTTTGCACATTGTTCGTTGGTTGAACTCTACACAACCTCCCGTGCTTGAGGTCTCTGTCGAGCAAACATTTGAAAGGTTGAGATTGCGGGCGTGGCTGGCAAGTCTCCAGGCTGCAGAATGGATGAGACATGGTGAGTTGATGCCGTTTCCATTCCAGGACCTCACTTGCCATCCATGTCAATTCAATTCCAAGTTCCAATTTCAGTCCTGCAATTTGTGCCTAGAAGAAGAGCTTGATTGTTTCTCGATCAAGCATTTGGACTTCCACCATGTTTGACAACCCAGATCTCATAAAGCTTGCTCGGGCCATATCCCGCCCGATTTTAGCAAGCCGCAAAGCCGGTCAGGTTCGCGTCGCACAAAGGAGCTCGTTCGTTTCAAGGCGGGGTCCCTGGCCGGATCTGGTTTGTATATCCGAGAGGGGTTGTTGGTGGGCAGTGTTTGGTCCTGCTGTGGATGGTTGCGACATCCATTTCGCACCTCAACGACCCTGGACTGATACGATCCCCCCCTGTGACTACCAAACAATTGTTGTTCAATGGTTTTAAACTGGTGCAGGATTTTGTCCATCCACAGAAGCAGAAAGCCCGTTCATATTCCATGCGTTGATTCTCACTTGCGCGTCGATATCGCAACCGATTTGAGCTGTGGCTTGTGATGGATTGATCGCTTTCAAGGCTGCCATGGGACACGGGTACTGACTGGACCTTCGATTGTTTGTTCATAGCGCTCACTGCAACCCCATGGTGCATTATCTGGATTGGCCAGAAGGACCTTTGACATTCAAACGTCGCGCTAATGTCACGTTACCAGTTCCCAAGGGATGGAGCTCAATTACCAGGATCTTGTTATTTGATATGTTCAGGACGGAGAAGTTGACACATCTTGTTTCTGATTTGGATGTGGCTTGGTTTAGGGGACTGGTTCCCATGGCTTCGGTGTCCTTTTGTTCCCTTGAAAGCCACCTTTTGGTTTGCCCTTGTTTGGACCATTTCTGGTCATGGCCCCAAACGGTATACCCATGCACCAACAAACATGGAAGTTCACAAAGCCCCTTTCCAAGAGGAAAGTAGTCTTTCTACAGGGGACTGTGCACTTTCATGTTCGGAGGAAGTGTACCAAAAGGTTGGTGCTTGAAATCCACCTTTTGGTTTTCCCTTTCTGGTCCATTTTTAGTCATGGCCCCAAAAGGTTCCTTTTGGTATTCCCTTTTTCCCATTTTTAGAAAAACAGGTTTACCGGTGTTGCCTTGGGGCAAGTGAGTTGACCCAAGGCTTGGTGCGCTGAGGCTGCGACACCAGCTTCAGCGCTGACTGGGGTGCCGCCGGGCGGCGGCGGCGCTTGGATGCCGGGAAGCACAGCGGGTCAAACGGAGTCAAGCGGTCGTACGGGGTTTGCAGTGTCTCGCGGGAAACCAAAGGGATCCTCCCTGGTGAACATGTTGGGGTGTCGCTTTCTTACCAAACCTAAGTTAGGGTCGGTTTGTGGTTCATCCATTTGCTTAAGAAGATTTGTTTATTTTCCCTTGCTGGTTGCAAAGGGAATCGATTTCACTACTGGAAATACTATTTGTTCCATGGGGCTTAAGCAAATGGAAGTGTTTCTTGCGGGAAACCAAAGGGAGGTTTTCCCTCAGGGTTCACTCAAAAAGCGAAATCCCAACATGGCTATGAACTCCGTTTCACCGTTTGAATTGGTTGGTGGACTATCAACACAGAATGATCAATGTGCCATGCTTTGGGTACGACATGGGCTGAAACCGAGCAATTACCCTGCTGGCTTTGAAAGGAGTGGAATTCCATTCCTTGGCTATTTGGTAGCGGATCTTTGGATTTTGACCTTGTGGTTGAGACAGTTCGGCTTTTCCACAGGACCCACAATAAGTGATTCACTGCCGATGCCACCCGGAAATCCAACGCATGTTCGGCAATGTGTGCAAATATACTTCCCTTTCAAGGTCCCCCAGTAGTGCCCTTTTACCCCTTTTTGGGGGGGAGGGTTCCCCTACCTAAAATAGACTACAGAAAAAAGTCGGTACCCTTAGTCTAACCTCTCCACTGGAGGACCTAGCTGTTGCAAGTCTGAGAGTGCAAAGAGCCGATGGCAATGGGCCGTTTGTTCTTATGCTTGTGGGGTGCCCTCAGACTTGTTTCCTTGCCAATGGAAGTGAGGGAAGGATGGGAGCTCTAGGGAAGGACGGGAGCTATCCAATTTGTCTTGCATTTTAGGGTGTACCTGGCAGTGTACCTCACTTGTCCGTGTTCCGGACAAGCGCAAGTCAAGAAACCACCTTGCGGTGTTTGGTATGGCCTATTGGCCGTGCGCTAAGGAGATTCGAACCAAGGAGACTCAGCATTCATTGAGACACCGCAATGCTTCTGTGCGCGTGTGTGTGTGTGTGTGTGTTGCCTTTTTCTCCAGGAGTTCGTGTACATACCCCGTTTATATACCCCTTGGACAAATGAACCCAAAAGGACTGCTGATGTTCATACCCAACTCCCCAAAAGGGGTATACCCCTTATAAAGTGGGTTGGAAGCCGGGGGTATGTACTTCCACCCTTAGATGTTTGACTTGCAAGGGAGCAAGTTGGTTTCCGACACTTCAAGCCACCATTCCTGGTCCGAATCCCGGGGCTGGCTGAGGCCCACGCGAACCAGTCTAGGTGTCAGGCAAACCCCCAAGTAGCGGGTTTTCTCATTTCCTTTGGGGAAGACCAAGGGGGGATGCGTATTTTTCCAGAGCCATCCGACTGAAGCCACTCTGGACTCGCAGATGTTTCACGCCACTCCGGACCTGAGACGATGGGTTCAGGGAAGCAAAACAAAAATGGGTTGGGAGAGTTGAGCTGTTTCGACTTTCAGCACGCCGTTTTTAGCGTTGCAGGAAGACTTCAGGAGGGGGACCGAGTTGCTGGTCGATTCCTTAGGCCTGCAGCAGGGGCCGCGCGCGGGGCCGCGCGAGCGCCGACAAAGGCTGGGCCGGGGCTCTGACGGCCACTGGAAACGTCGAAAGCGCACCAATGCCGGCAGTTCCTTGCACCCTGCAACCACCAAAAAGTACAAGGAGGCCACCTGTATGTAGTGTTGAGTCAGCAGTCGATTTGCGTGGGTTGAGGCCGCCAAATCTGAATTCAATTCTGTGGGCTCCAAACAGCATGGCAAGTCCGGAGAAAGTCCGGAATCAACTTGGAGGGTCTTGGGGCTACCTGCACCCTCAAACCACCATAAAGTACAGAAAGTCACATGTAATTTTGGGTCAGCAGTCGAATTTGGTTGGTTGAGGGTCCATTCACAAAACTGGGCCTGCCACTCGCCAGGCACAGAGCGCCCCTGGCCACACACTCCGCCGAGACGCGTGCGCCGCCGAGCCTCCACGCGGATGCGGCCGCATCACTGGGAACAGGCGGGGCGGTGAACATGACTAGGTCTCCCAGCTAGGTGCCCTTTTCCGTTTCTTTTTTGGTTGGGAGGGTTCCCCCTACTAAAATTGACAAAAATGTAAAAACGGGTACCCACTTATTTTAACGAGTCTGTACTGGAGGACCTAGATGACTGCGCCTTTGGGCCGTGAGCCACAGGCGCACTGTGTCCTGCCGGTGGAGTACGACTTCTTCGCGGACTACAAGGCTAGGCATCACGTTTTGCTCGTAAAAAAAACGCTCCAATCTCTGTTTGTGTTTGGGCAAGATACGGGGGGACCCATGACATGGTGGTTTCTCCTCAACCAACTTGAGCAAAGGCAATTACCTTCCAGATGGAGCCTCATGGCGGATTTGCGAACCATGGGTTGTTTGGCCAATGTTGGCCATTGGAGCCACTAACCGACATGTTCGCGAGGTTTGCTGGAAACATGTTGTCCAGTGAGCTTTTTTGTGCTCCTCGCTGAGAGGCGCTTTCTGGCTGGTAATGCCCGGTTTGTGTATGTGTATGTAGATAATTTTGTTTTGCGCACACCAGTTCTTCTCGGCCCATTGGCGGGAGAAGCTGGCAACGAATCCAACATAGATTCCAAGACTTGGCCCTTGGCGTCGTTCCAAGGCCATCCGCATGCACGTCTGGTGCGGCAGCCCAGCCTGCGTTCATCGGGAAACATGTGAAGCGCCTCCGGCCATTGGGAAGCACTGCGCCACAGTTCAAGTCACTCCCTGAGTTCCGCTTCGGACTTTAGTCACTTTTTGATTTGGGTCTGGACCATCTTGGTGGCAAATAAACAGTTGGGTTTTTTGGGCAACTCAGGAAGTAAGTCAGAGATGCCTTGGCTCACCGCATGGACATCTTTCTTCCATTTTCTTCCTTTCCTTGACACAATACCTTTCTGCTGGATGAGGAGTGGGCGTCCAAACAATCAACGGGTGTCAGGGCAGAGCCTCTGCAAGATGATTGAACCAAGATTGGTGTTGTTGTTTTTTTTGGTGGGAATTCAAGTGCCAATTTTCCTTTCAATCAAGCAGCAACAGCTTGAACCCGCAACGTCAACCAACAACTTTGGTCTTCTTGGAGTCTCCTGACCCGCAACAGGTCAACAAACCCTTTGGTTTCAATTTTGAAATCCTTTTTTGGTGTGAGCTGTTCAAACGGAAACTGAATGGAAAACACCAATGTTGGGGAGGGTTCCCCGAGTCTTGAGAGAACCTATCCATGCTGCTGCTTTTCCCCAGACACCAGATATGAGGTTCCTCCCTTCAAGAAGGGCTGGTTGCTGGACTTTTGCCAAAACGCCCGAACTTGCGATTTCAGGTCAGAGTCGCGCGAGCGTGCACGCCTCGCAGAGGAAGGCCATGGGCGTGTTGTTTTTCTCGCTTTTTTTTTTGGCGCGGGTACCAGTTTGAGGTTGGTGTAAAAGGGGGAACCAAAGGAAAACTGCAATTGTTTGGGTCCCCCCATTTTGAGACAAACCCATATTTGTGTAGACAGGTGATGGTTGTTTGTGAATGTGTTTCGAGCTTTAGCTTCTATTTGCGAGTGGCGTACAAACAGGAACGTAATTTGCTAATATAGTGAGTGTTCGGAAGATGTCATATCATTGTTTACCATTGGTGCACGGTTTTCCTGTTTTGTGTTTGTTTTGTGTTTGTGTTGTGTTTGCGTGTGTTGTTTCGTGTGTTAAGTTGTTTGCATGTTGTATCTCTGTCGATCTGCTTGCTTTGCTTGCTTGCTTGCTTGCTTGCTTGCTGGCTGGCTGGCTGGCTGGCTGGCTGGCTGGCTGGCTGGCTGGCTGGCTTGCTTGCTTGTTGGTGGGTTTGCTTATTTGTTTGGTTTATTTGTGTTTGCATTCCAATCGGCTATTCAATCCGGAGAGTTGGCCGAGGCGGTTGCGCCAGTTGACCGCGATGCTGCGCATTGTGGGCAGCTGAACTGTTTCTGCTTCTTTGGACCCACGGGTTCAAGGCCATGCCCAATTTCGGGACCTAGTTTTCCAGCGACGCCCGTTTTCCGCCTTTGTTTTTGGGGAGGAGGAGTCTCTCGTTTCAGACTCAGCCAACCCAACGACGTCAGGCGGCGTTTTGCCGTTGGATCAGAACATCACCGATATCGCATGGGCGCGGAGCTCGGACAAGGCGATGCGACAGGTGCCTATAAACCAAGCGCGGTTTATTTGCCCGCTGCGACTTGCACTGCTTGGAGATCCCCAAGGAGAAAATTGAAGTTGGAGGTAGACTTGTCTTGATCATGACCTCCAGCGAGCTGAAGATTACATCTGTTTCAGGTTCCTTCTGAGTTGTGAATTGTGGTTTAGAGTATTAGCGCGTGCTTCAAGCCAGTCACTTGCCCAGACACACACGGACACACCTTGCCAACAGTCTTGACGCTTTTTAGTTCCTGCACGTGTTGAGCGATAGACTGGCATGACATGGCCATGTAATGGACACATAGCACTACAAAAAGATACCGATGCTTCGGTCTGATCCATGGGGTGCCACATCGGAAATAAAAGCCCGACCTGGCCGATCTACACACTTTGACGTGCACCGAAGCTACATGTTTGGGAATTGCACGCCTCGGCAATATCAGTGGAGGACTTTGCTAAGAATCTGCATCTTTCTATCGGACTAGCTCAATTCTGTGAGCAGAGGTATTGCTCTGGGTTTTGTTTCCGCGGAGGCGAAAACCCAATTGGACGATCCCGCAGTTCAGCTGATGCGTTGCTATGGTCGGTGAGTACCAGCGTAGCCGTGGGAGTAGCACCATGGCAACACGTGAGCAGGCTGCTTTTGCAGCTAACCTGCGCCAGCATCTCACCAACGGAGGCGTAGCTAATTTGGACGACACGTTGGCTTAGCGCAGGTGACATAGGCTCCTGTTCATGATTGCCGTTGGGAAACATTTTATATTTTTGCTTATTGTGGTTTAGTGGGAAATCCCCACTTAACTGCTAAAATTTAATTTTTGCCCCCCTTCCAACGTTGAGCATTATTTTTGTTTGGTAATTTTGGCATTGAGTTTATAATAGTTTATACTCTACCAGCATGCCGCATGCCGATTGCGAGATAAAACCGCCAGGGTTTATGAAGTTCACGTGTTGGATGCATCATTGCCAGGCGCCAACGACCAGGCCCCAGATTCATGCGACCAGGCCCCAGATTCAACACTTGGTTTGAAAGTATGTTGAATGTGGAAGTACAATGGGGCCTGGAAGTATCCAGATTTATGGGACCAGGCCCCAGATTCAACTTTCCCACCATTTATACACAAGTTGCACTGCTGGGAGCTTGGGACAACCATGTGCTGGATGAGCTTGACGGATTTGCTTGTCGAAACCCTCCATTGCAAGGCAGTCAAGCAGTACGTGGAGGACCTGCGTGAATGGTTCGAATCAGTGCGCAGCCCTGGATGCTTCATGATATTCCGTTGCTCATTGGGTGGATGAGGGCAATATGTGTCAGCAATCAGCTGGCCGTATGACAGGTGTTTCACCAATTACTGCATAAGAGAGAGAGAGAGAAAGAGAGATAGAGAGAGAGAGAGAGAGCAGTCCAACTACTCACTCGTCGCGGTTCCTTGCGCTATATACTTGATTTGCTTGCAAGCCTGAACCACACGGTTGCTCTGATTGTAAACAAGGGCAGTGATACGAAGTGTTGTTTCAGTTCTTTCCAATCATTGCGTGCCCGGAAACAAGAAAACTTGACACTCTGAGCCAGACACAGCGTCATGCACCTATTGTGCAAGGGTGAATCGCATGGAGGAAATGGATTGGTCTCCCTTTTCTCTTCAAGGCAATAGACACACAGGGACATTCATGTTCGTGGGTTGGATTCCTCAGGCCGAATGCTGAGGAATGGAGGGAACTAAACCTTGCGGTCTAGAGGCAATAAGAAGCCTGCTTGGAGTACCTGGATAGTTGCTACATTCTGGTGCATGATTGCCTTATTTGGCTGTGGATCAAAAGCATGTACCAAAAGTTCACGCTGGGAAATGGAACCAAACCCTAAAACCAGCGTAATTAATTTTGAGCCACACCAATATTGGGAAAGGGAATCCTTACGGAAAAAAAAAGGCCCATGGGCGCTCTTCGGCACGGATTCCCTCCACGAAAAAGGAAAACCAAAAAGGGGGGCGACATACCGTAGTACTCCACAGCTGCAGCGATGAAACCCCAAAACACCGGCGCATGGAGACAACTCCTCGAGGTTCCCTCCCTCCTGGTGGCTCCCAGCCCTCCGGTTCCTTAGCTTTTTAGCTCCTTTTGGTGTTTAGCGGTGGTTTTCATTTCACCCACTAAAAGTTCGTCACTTTTAGCGGGGGAGCTGAAAACGGGCAGCCCAGCGGCGTTTTTTGTCGGTGGGGTTTGGGAGAGGACTACGACCAGCTCCTGGGCAGCGGGGTGAAGATCCTGCACTGGCCCGGGGAGCTGCGGAAACCCTGGCAGCGCTGGCACCAGGTGGGCGGTCGAGCCCGGCGCGCGCGAGTCCCGGGCTGAGACAAACCATGTTGAGGCGGTTTATCCCCAAGATGTACCAAGATGTGGGATTCCACCTCACTTGCCCTTGCCGGTCCATAAGGAGATCACCGTTTGCGGCCACTAGATGGACCAAGCGGAACGCAAACAGGGCAAAAAGCTCGATTCGCTTTGGTTGCAAGTGAGCCCACCGAGTGCGAAATGGGTGTCTTTCTTGTGGCAACCCCAACAATGCTGTTTGTCATCTTGGTGTCCCTTTAAACCCACCCAAAAAAAACAAGGGGCTACGTCCTCCAGTGGAGAGGTTAGAATAAGGGTTTTTCTGTAATCTATTTTAGTAGGGGAACCCTCCCAAACAAAAGAGGGTGAGAAAAGGGCACCTGGTGTGGTTGGGAAACATTTTACATTTTTGCTTATTAAGTTTAGTGGGAAATCTTCACTTGATCAACTGTTAAATTTATTTGTTTGCTCCCCTTCCAACGTCAACCAAGTCAATGGGTGAAGGATGTTTTCCGTCAATGATATGTCTCGGTTTCCAAAGGCACGGGCGGGAGTCCCTTCAAGCGAATGTAAGCACACTTATGGCCCAGTCACTCGCAAAGTGGAGAGATAAATCTCTTGTTGGTCGGTTATGAACGTGGCTCCAGTTGTGTTTGTGTTGCTTGTGGCTACTTCGTCACATACGCTTGAAGACAAACCAAGCGTGGAATCAATTCCTCAGCCAGAGAAAGGGTCCGAGGGCATCAGAAGAGGCAGGGCCAAAGCAGACGTAGACCTACCACGTCCCCAATTCGAGCAGCCAAATCCGGAGCCTACCAAGTGACGCTGATTGGGCGATAGCTATCGGAGCAACTATTGCAAATAACCGGCTGCAGTTCCCCGGCTGCCTTGCCCTTACCGCATTTTTGTCCAGCACCATATTGGCTGGGTGTGGTTTGGTGCTTCCCAGTATATGCCAAACGGAAGCGTGTGCGATCTCGACCAAAGCGAAGAAATAAGTCCTGCAGAACTTGTACCGAACGGAAGTCACTCCAAAAAGACAAAAGCGGCCGATCTTCGATTTGCGCGAGGCCGTTCGATCGCCCTGGGATGAAGCCTGGTGGACCGCGCACCGCGAGATGTGCCCGGCACCCGGATTCGGACGAGATTCGCCGTTGGCCTTGCGCCCAGCACGGTCCTTCCGCCTTTTTCGTGGACGACAGAAAAAGGCGAGGCGCTCCGGACACTCGAAGAAGCGAAAACGGTTCCTTTTGTGTTTCTCTTCAAAGCAAGGCCCAACAAGGAGTATCCCAAACAAATCTTCGACAGGTCGCACAGTGCTACAGCTGCAGTTCAGAACATCCCTGAGGCATCCAGCGGTTCAGTGGGTTTGAACTAAACCGGGGTCGACCCGGAAAAGTTTCCCTTCTACCGCAGTTTTATTAATTATATGTGCCGTATTCTGGACAGGCCTGACTGTTTGTCTCAAAGACCAGCCCCGATGCAAAGACTTGACCGCTTTCGCCACTTGGCATGCTTGCCTATCCATACCGAACTTTCGGATTTGACGCAACATGTCGGTGTAAAATTTAGAGTTCCGTACCCGCTGAAATTGAACAGACCAAAAAGGGAATGAATTCCTTGTAGGGTGTGTTTGACTGAAAACACAGCCATGAGGTACTGTGTCAAAACCAGAATCCTTTCCGTTCTTACCATTCTTCCAGGATATTCTCAGTGTCGAACGTGCGCCATTTGCCATGCCACGAAGCTGAGGTCAAAGAAGCTCTGCCGCCTGTGTGATCCACTGCGAGTGAGTTGTCATGCCCAGCTGTCAGTGAGCAATCGTGATAATGTATGCGTTGCGATCTGAAATCATATTGTAACTGCCAAAATGTTTGTTGTCGGCTCTTGACATTTCATGGTAAATTACATGCAGCACTTGTTGTTCATTTGTGAAGACAGGAAGGGTGTACAAGAGGAGTTGACGTACGTACATTCCCAGGGCTTACACAGACTGGGCTGTTCAAAGGCTTACTTTGCAAATTGGGCTCGATCTTGACTTGGTAGAATCCGAGATTCTGGATTTTGACGACTGAACACGCAGACTGGAGACAAGGTTTGGACATAGCCAAGACTTGCACTCCACAGCGAGGTTTCTCCACACACACCCACACACCGGGCCCGCCAATGCCAAGCTGTTTTGCTTACCCCCCCATAGATCCAACAATCATCAGGTCGGTCTCAACAAACTGAAGGGTTCCGCAAGTTTGGCACCAGTCAGCCGATTGTCGCTGCACGTGCTAAAGCTGGGCGCTGATGTCATGAAGAATTAGCAACATTGTGATCATTGACATGGTTGTTGAGCATTTGGTTTCGGAGTGCTCTTTGTGATTCCAAGCAAATCTTCTTGAACATGACAAAAGGAAGTCATACGCAGGGATGGCCCACTTGAATACCACAGAAAGTATTTCCCAGCAGTGGTACCTGGACCCTCAAACCCATTTCTTCTGGGCTCCAAGATTCTGGGGGGATTCCCTTGCTATGGCTAGTTTAAGGGTCCAGGTTGAGACGAAGCGCCGAGCTGCTGTACATAGAACTACAGGGGCCGCTGGACCGCTGGACCTAGAACTACCTATAGAAAAGATGCGCTGCGTCGCCGGTGCAGATCTGAAAAGTATTTGGACTCACATTTCCATGAAGATAATGTCCAAAGCGTTCCTGGTTGAGTCACACCCAAACCCTTCTGATCAAGACGCCGACATGTTTGCAGGCCCACTGAGCTGTTTGCTCACTCCATCATCGTTCTAGTTGGCGCCTCTTTGGTTGTATTGATGTGACGAGAGGACCGTGGTAGGAGGTGAGCCGCGTGGGTCGGGCTTTAAACTTGCGTTTAGGCAGTGCCATGCGCGTGAGGTAGTAAAGGGGCCTGGAGGATTTGGCAGCATGTTGTGCAGAATTGTTGAGGTGGTTTTGCGCTGACGGGTTTGCCTTTTGTTAGGGAACCCCTTTTGGTTGGATTGAATCGGACGCCAAGTCAAGCCACAAACTTATTGGACACATCTTGACTTACTATGGGTCGGACATCCATAGTGATTGCCGGTTGGCCAGGTGCTGGACAATTACTTCTTCGCCTGGGGCTAATTTTGAGTGAGTGTCGAGTCTGACGTGTGAGATCGGAGTGGGGCTAAGTCTGGCCCTTGTCAGAAACTTCGGGTTCCATGTTCTCGGGGGGACTCCCAAAATTCCCTTTTTGGTATCCCAAACCAACCCCTGAACTTCGCTGTTCTTGGCACGTTTTCTGGTTTTTTAGTTTTTTGGTTCTGTTCATCTTTACCGGGGGTCTGCAAAAAACAAGGTTTTTTGCTACCATACCAAGAGCAGAGATGTTAAAGGGGCAACTGCCTCAAAACGAAGGGTTTCGCCGAGGATCCCAGGGCCAAGATCCCCATCTTCCCGAAGGACTGGCGGGATCGCGGCTCGCCGGCTTCGCCTTGGTGGCTTCCCCTTTAATTTCGTGGCGGCCGAAAAAGTGTGTACGTTTTTTTGGGCAGGCCACTGACTAAGTGAGTTTATTAGGTGCTTTTAGTGGGGTTTAGTCCGGTTTCTGAAATTCAGCCACTACAACTAGGTCCCCCAGCTAGGTGCCAACTTTTACCAACTTTTTTGGGGGGAGGGTTCCCACCTAGTAAAATAGACTACGGAAAAAAGTTGGTACCTTTATTCTCACCTCTCTACCGGAGGACCTAGACAATGCTCATTCGGGACTTGTTGGGTTTCATGAGCACGTCTGGGTGGCTCGGCTCCTCTGGTCTTGACAACCCACTCCGTTGCTTGGCGCAACGGATTTCCTGGTGGTTTCTCTTTTTGTGCCACCCCCCCCAAAAAAAACAACTCCAAAGAAAAGACGAGCTACCCATGTCTGGCTTTGCTTTCTGCACCAATACGCCAAGGTGTCCTTTAGGTGGACAAATGGTGGTGACGGGTTTCGCAAGCGACCATGTCGCAGGAGAGGGGGATCTGAATCGATTTCCCAAATGGGGATCTGGATCGAAATCGCCAAACCCCGCAACAAAAGGAAAGCACGAGGACACCAAGCATTTTCCCTGGTCTCTCACCCTAAACTCTAAACCCTAAACCCTGGATCTCCAAAACACCAAAACCCTACCATCTCCAAACCAAACTATTTAGAGCCGCCACAAAATTCTCGAGCATTTAGAACCGTCGCAAGAAAAACAAACAAGAATCTCTCGAGGACCCGGTGTGCCGGAACTTCTACGCGGAGCTGCTGCGCTGGCCGAGCCGGTACCGGGACTACTACTGCTGCGAGCGCCCGGCGGACGCGGCCATCGCCTGCGGGAAGCCGGACTGGAAAGGATGCAGGCGGGGGTTTGGCGAAAGGATGAAGCTGAGTGGTTTGGCGGGGAAGGCGAATCAAACAAAAAAAACGGGGGGGGGGGGGGGAAAGAAAAAAAATATTTAACGGAAAACAACCAAAGGACACACGAAAAGCAGAGTGGTTTGGGGGGTCTCTCTTTTTTTTTGACCTCACAAAGAGTCCCTGCACTGAAGGAATAGCAAAGTGGTTTGGGGGTCCCCGCGATTCTTAACTGCTATTGGGTTGGATCTTTCGACTTTTCCACTTTTGGGTTGAAATCATTTGGGGCTTTCCACTAAACCCCCCCAAAAAACAATTCACTTTTTGCAGGAATGTCAACAGCAACCAAGCATTTTAGCATCACAAAGAGTTCCTGGACGTTAAGGAAAAGCAGAGTGGTTTGGCGGGGAAGGCGAAACAAAAACCCAAGGACAAAAATCAAAGCACAAACAAACGCAGTGTTGGGGGTCGCGAACCCGCAGAGTGGTTTGGGGGGTCCCCCAATTGTTTTAACCGGGGAAACCAAAGGAAAAACAGAGTGGTTTGGGGGGGTTTTCTATTTTAAACTCGCTTTGGGAGTTCTTGTTTTTTGGACTTTAAAGCTTTTTGGGAAGATAATTTTGGTGGGTAAATATACAGTCCGGATTGTTGTGCCCAATCCACTTAGGAAGTTAGTGACACATAGGTTTCATTCCTGGACAGATTCACCAGGGGCCATGTTCTGAAACAATATCAGAGGCTGGCAATTGCTAACATGTGGCATCATTTGGCTATGAAAATTCAGAAGTCATATTTGTGTGTTCATTCCCTGGTGCCTCTCGCCCCATGTTTTTTTGTTTTTTTCTGATCGAGACGCCATGCGCCAGGAATCACCTCTGGGATCTGAGCAGTTTCGGCGAGGAGGAGGTACGCAGGCTGTGCTACTCCATCCGCGATGTCTTGGAGCGCCTAAGCCTAGCACAAGAAGTGAGCAAACGAAGGGAAGGAGAGAATCTCACGAGCCTGAGTGCCAGTGTCGTGTTGCCAAGTGTCCTTTGTGTTGCTAAGTGTCCCTTGTGTTGAAGTGCTTGCCAAGTGTCACTTGTGTTCCATTGTCCAGTGTTCGAGTGTTGCCAAGTGTCCCTTGTGTTCCAAGGTTCCGTTTCGGACTTGATCTCCATCTCCATCCTTTGCAGGTTAGTCACTGTTTTTGTTGGCCGGTCCACTCGGGGAGTCGCTTCGGAAGCCAATCTGATCTGATGCATTTCTTTCGTTTGACTTCCAATTGTGTGCCTCAGAATAGATCAGGTATGCATTGGGTTTGGTGGGGATTGCACCCCAGTGCCTTTGACGCCAGGTGGGGAAGGTTGAGGTTGAGGTAAGCCTCAAAGGGCTTCAAATCTTCAGACCAACAAAAAACAATTGAGTCACAGTCTCCAACCCCAGGTAATTGGAGGGTGGTAAGGGACAATTCCAGCGAGTTTTTGGGTGCGTATCTCCGCCTTGGTATTTGTTTACATGGTTATGGGTAGACCATTTTAATACCGGGTTGATTGTGCCTCAAATGGGGGAAGGTTGAGGTACCAAGCAGCCAGCCGAGTCGCCGAGGATGAAGGGCATGTTCTGGGCCGGTTGATGTTCCCTTCCAAAAGTGGCCTGATTCCCACCACGAAACCCATGGAGAAGCACCCCCTTTTTAATCAACTGGTTGGTTGATGAATATGGGGTCAACATTGTCAAGAAGCCGAGTCGACAAGTGGCCGAGGATGAAGGGCATGTTCTGGTCAGGTTGATGTTCCCTTCCAAGCCAAATGAGTCACAGTCTCCAAAGCCGGCTAATTGGAGGCTGAAGGTACCAAACCCAGGGAGAAGCACCCTTCTTTAACAAACTGGCGTTGATGAATCTGTAATATGGGGTCAACTAACCAAGAAGCCGCCAGCCGAGTCGCCGAGCCGAGGATGAAGGGCATGTTCTACATGGGCCGGGTGCGGCGTTCTTTGCGCGTGGCCTTCCACCGAAAGCACCCGGGGGAGTGCATGCCCAACGCTCCGCTGCGGGCTTTGGGCTACACCTCCGCGGGCGGATGCTTCGCGAACATACGGAGCGGCAAGCCCCTGAGCGCCTCGGCTTCCGGAAAAAGCACTGCAAGGACCCGGAAGCAAGCAGTTGCCCTCCAACTAACATGGAAGTGCAAAAAGGCCCTTTCCAAGAGGAAAGTCGTCTTTCTACAGGGGTCTGTGCGCTTCCATGTTAGCTGGTGGGAGGGTAACCTTTTGGGGCCATGTCTAAAAATGGACCAAGATTGGGAAACCAAAAGATAGGTTGATACTGTGGATGGACAAGATCCATTTCGCACCACCTAGGAAACCCGGGAAAAAGACGATTGCCCTGTGAATAGCAACAAACGTTATGGTTTTAACCATGGTTTGAAAGTGGTGCAGGATTTTGCAGCCGTCCACAGTAGGACCCTTTGAAGAACGGCAATATCCAATTTGTTTGGACAACCCATTTTTGGAGAAGTTGCAGAGCTTTGAGCCGGGGTCGCCTTTGCTGTGTTCAAAATGGGTTCCGTACAGCCGGCATTTGCGGGTCCCCCAGTAGTGCCCTTCTCTCCCCTTTTTTGGGGGGGAGGGTTCCCCTACTAAAATAGACAGAAAAAAGTTGGTAGCCTTATTCTAAGCTCTCTACTGACGGACCTAGAGAAGGTTACTGTGAGGATGCAAGGCGCCTTGGACGTCGGGCGTGGCAACGGCAACATGGCAACTCCGTTCACTCTGTTCCGGACCGGTTTGCTATGACTTACACACGAAAGCTGTAAACAAGGCTGGTTGTTTGCTTGGGCTGGCTGTCCTGTGAGCCCAAGAGTTGCAGATGGCATGTTTTTTTTTTTTTTGAATCGTTTCTCATTTGGGGGTTGATCAACAGGTTCGGCAAACATGGGATGACCGTTGGTTGGAAACCGCCAAACATATCAACATATATTAACCACTCAATAGGGCCATTTGCGAGCTGAAGGCTCCCTCATGAAGATCGGGTACGTGCCTGGTGGCAATGTGCCCTGGATGGGAGGGCCATATCCAGCCGAGCCTCAAAATTGGAGAGTTGGGGAACCTGGCTACCTAGTGGTTAGAAGGGAGCCGTTCCGGAGGGGTATCCAAATTTGCCTTCAAACAGGGAGCTAAGTTGCTACGAGTTCTGTACGGACATGGTAGCTGGTCCCAAGACTCTTCCTTTGATGCCTTGCGTCCCACCTTTTTCCAACATTTCCAGGGCGTTTAATTTATCCCTCAGAGATCGGACGGATCTTCGGTCGGATCTTCGGTCGGAGGCCATGTCTTTCAGATAGAAATGGCTTTGGGAAGAGTAACTTGCCCAGGTCGGGCAACAATATGAGTACTTCCATTTGCTTAAGCGTGTGTCTTGTTTTCCCCGGATGGCTTTAAAGGGAATCTATCACTACTGGACATATTTGTATTTTTCCCAGGGGGCTTAAGCAAATTGAGGATTAAGAATCAGCTTCCTTCTTGAAGGAATGCTAAAATTGGAGGTTGTGTAAACAGTGGCTAAAAGAGTTGAGCATGTTCAACGACCTGGTTGGCCATAGGTGTGTGTTTAACTCTATCAAGACCAGAGCAAGTCACACACTTTGGCCGACCATGCTGTTTTCGAGCCGAACTGGGCTCGAGTTCTCCCATGTTCCTGGCCCCCTGGAAAGGTAACACCAATCCGTGGGCTATTTCGCATTGTCTCAAAGGGCGGCCTTGAAAATTCCTGGTGCCTCCTGCTTTACCACAGGGCCCCCAGCCCCTCCCCTGGAAACTCCACTTGGAGGTGTACAGCAACAAGATCGTGTTGATGGACGAGGCTCACAATCTGGTGAGGACATCTAGTTCCTGAAGTCTCCATGACCCGAATCAAACAACATGGGGGGAATTCCAGGAGCCCTGGCTTTTTGGGTCATATTCTTCGAGGACCCTTCAAACACAGATCTGGGTGTGGGTCAAAACCAATGGGATCCCATTTTGGGGGTAGGTCCACCACCCATGTTAATCTATTTTAGTGGGGATTGGGATGTTCACTGGGGGAACGGGGTTTTGACCCATAGGACCCTTCAAACATGGATCTGAGTAGGGAAGCCAAAGGAACGCCTCTCATTTTGTTGGGTTCCTATTTTGAGACACGCCCAGGTGTCTCTTGGCTTTTTGTTGGGCTGGCTGGAAACTTCTAAGGAAACCGTTGCGCCATTTTGGTCCGAAAGAATACTGGCTGGTGCTCAGTAGGGAATGGGGGAATGAACCGTTTCGGGGTCCCCTTAAAGGAAACCACCAGCAAGGGATGTTTTAGTTCGGGGTCATTCCACAACTCGCATTCCCTGCTTCAAAGGATTTGGGTACAGGAAAATCTACAGGACATGGCCCCAAAACACCCAGCAAATCAGCAGTTGTCCTGTAGGATTTCCTGTAACCGAGCCTGTTTTTCCTGTAACTGCTGAGAACCAGTAAGACTACCTGGAGTCTCCTTCTGACCCTTCCAAAATAGGGTCATTACCCAAAATAATGGGCTTATGACCCCTTTTTGTAAGGGTCATGGAGACTTCAGGTAGTGTTTTCAAGGTTTTGTGAGTGGGTGTGGTTGGTTGACTTTCAAGTTTTGCATCCAACCCCCAAAGTGGGTGTCATTGACCCATTTTTGATTTGGGTCATGGAGACTCCAGGTAGACACACCCCGTCAGGAGCCAGACCCAATACGCGGAGCAGCTTCAACGCCTGCGGCGCTTGCTCTACGAAGCTCGGTATTTGAGAAGCACGGGGCTTGGGCTTTGGCTCTTCTCGCAGGGTGAGCATCCATTTGCTTTAGTTCTTTTCATATTTCTCCCTTGTTGATTTTAAATGGAATCGATTTCACTACCGGAAATATTCTGTATTTTTTCCAGGGGGCTTAAACAAATGGGTGACATCTCAATTTTCGATCGGTTGATTCCTTGTCCATTCTTTTCAACCATCGTTCTTTTATGAAACACCGGATCCGTTTCCCCCGGGTTTCCGGAGGTGTTCTAGAAAGATTCGGATGTCTGGAAAGAACGGAATGGGAAGGTACCCCTAGAGTTGTGTTTTTCGCTATTTGGGTGGTTTTGGGTTACCCCTAACTAGAGTTTTTTCCAAGGATTCTTGCACTCCAAAAAATCGACCTCTCTCTCCTTTTTCGAGCACCCAATTTGTCCAGTTCAGCTTGGAATGGGGCCGGAGGATTTCAGGACGGGCCGGCGATTAAGACTTTTTTCCCCAAGGCTTGGTGGATGTTGGGAGCCATTTTACATGTTTGCTTATGGTGGTTTAGTGGTGGAAATCTTCGGATGACTGGTAAAATTCATTTGTTTTTGCTCCCCTTCCAAGGTCAGCCAAGGAGTCTTGGGGCTGAATTGCGAGTGATGGCTGCAATGCTATGGCCCAGGACCCTTGCCATCCCCAATACCAGCCTCAAGAATGGAGACTGAGATGTTCGGTGGAGACTTGCTTGGCGCCCCAGACGTCCGACATCTCAGGAGGCCAAGCACCTGGTGCTTGCTGGCTTCACTGGGACCCCCATCTTGTCAGAGCCCTCGGAGGGGCGACAGCTGCTGGACATCGTCAAGGGCTGCCTGGCGCCCGAAGGCCGGAGAAAAGCGGCCAGAAAACCGGAGGGATAAAAAAAAAAAACAAGTGAAAAAAGCGGAAGGGGTGCTGGGGGCACGTGAGCCAGCCACTGGCTCAAAGCCGATTCGGGTAGAAGGTAAGGAAAAATCCCAGGCACAAATGGGTGCGGCCGCCTTGGTAGTTCCTTACATGAAGGTTAAAGGATAATTCCAACGGACAGCCGCCTTTCTACGCTTTCTAATTCCTTTGGTCCTGGGGCTGGAGATCCATTTGGTTATTTTTGCTCATGGACTTCAGGCACTAGGGTTTGGATGCTATTTATTCTAGTGGCAAGCAACAAGTTCGGTGAATGTTGGCCAATCCACTCAGGAATCTGCTAAGCCGCAAGTTTAGTGAAGGACTGCTAGGAGCGTTGCCACAGATTTCTTGAGACCATCCTTGAGCGAAGGTGTTGGAAATTTGACATGGTCCAGCCAGATGTGTATCACATATTATGTAGTATTATCTAGCTCCCCCAGTAGTGCCCTTCTCTGCCAACTTTTTTTGGGGAGGGTTCCCCTACTAAAACAGACTACAGAAGAAAAATATGGTACCAACTTATTCTAAACCTCTCCACTGCAGGACGTAGTTATATACCCCTAGGAGCCCAAGGCCTCACTATACTATTTGAGGTCCAAGGTGCTCCAAGGCATACCCTGGGCTTGCCCAAACGGAAGGGGTCCATGGAATCCCCCACTTCACTCAAAACTGCCAAACTGAAGCTTCCATTTGTCCAGGAAACCAGGTGCCATCTATTCCAAAAGGTCTATGGAGTTTGGTTAGACATAGCTGGCATGGGCTTAGATGGGTCTTATAAACCATTTACTTCCAGTTGCTTATAAGAATAAATTTATTTTACCATTTTTCGTTGTTCGTTCTGAAGGTAATCCATCACTACCGTTGTTTTGTTTAAACAAAACATGTTTCCAAGGGCTTAGGCACATGGAGGGGAGACTCGATATATTCTCGGAGACATTGGGAGGGTGCCATGCTTGCAGGGTACACTGGCAACCAGATCTCATCCAAAGGGATTGGCCAAAACGACCGGGCGGGGGGTTTGTTTCCCAACAGGATCCCCGCCCCCCCTGTACAATGGAATTGGGGAAGGGGGAGAATTCTATTTAATTTTACCTTTTGTCCTTTTGCGGGGAAGTCTAGATAAATGGAATTGAGGGACCCCCACCCCTCCCCCTTAAGGTAGGGAGGATCCAACAGGTGCAGCAAACACCCACCTGCGTGCTCCAACTGATCCCGAAGAATCAAAACTCCAGGTGTTTTCCTTGAGTGATCTTTGTGTTTGGGGGTTTCCCCACCGAAAATGACATCACCCCCAAAAAAGGCACAAATGGGTCGGTTTCAGTTGGTTTGCCTGGAAAAACCATGCCGCCAAGGGAATGGGAATTTCGGATTAAGTCCCAGGTTGATGCAGAGGGCGTGTCCCTTGGGCATCGGCATCACTCATTTTGGACGCCCCAAATTGCATCAACGCCGGGGTTCCGGTTGTCCCAAAACAAGCCCAGGTGGTTGCCTAACCTAGGCCCGGACTCTCAAATCCTCCAGCCCGAACCCCCGCCGCACAAGTCGCCTATTATTTGCGCCCGTTGGCAACAAAAATCCCATAGCTTTCAGCTTTTCGGGGGGGAAAAACACCTATATATATATATACCTTGTACAACCGTACCCGTTAAAAACAACAGGTTACAATGGAAACCCGGGGTTTGCAGTGGAAACACAGGGTTTCGATGATGTTTGATGTTTTCTCCAAAGCGCTCACACGAATCTTCCTGGGCTCAAGCAGTCGTGCCTTTTGGCGCCACACCTGAGACGGCCGCGGCCTGAGAAGTCGCCAGCTATCTGCAAAGGGTACCCAAATGTTGTAAACAAGATGTTCGCAAACCCGTCATTTATTGGGCCTCCTCAGGGCGGGCCAGTAGACCGGCATCAAGCCACTGGACATAAGCTGACTGAAGGTAGCGCTGAACTACGCGGCGTAGCACCGGCGCGCGTGCAGTGGTTCGTCTGGACAACCGGCTTGGGCGGCCAATAAAATCTTCGTCTGCCTGGACAGAAGTGCAAATCGGACTAATGCAATCGACGTCTCGTACGTAAGCATCGTGTAAGTACAGCATCAAATGGTGGAGTGCGTGGACCTTTGGCTGCAATGGGAACAGATGTTTTTTCCTATCCAGGAATGCCCTCGCAAGCTCAGCGTACCTGCGAAGAAATCGCATGCCATGGCTGCAAATATAGTTGCTTTGCCCGGGCGTCAGCCACACGTCTGCCGTGTAGAGACTTCTCACGCACGTCTGTATGGCCAGAGTCGCATCACGTACAAGCAAAAGCAAAGGTTCGTCCTGCCAGCCCTCTGCATCGCACATGCTCTCCACCCACTCCATCAGATTTGTTGACAACGCGCCTTTGTGCCACGTGCCCGCTGGAAATTCATTGGTGGTTGTCCAGCCCAAGCATTCCTTCGTCAGCTTAAGGATGTAGCCTCGACGCTGGTTCTGCCTGCACCAAGCCTTGTATTTCTCCGACAACGCTGCAAATCGATCATCCACGTTGCCAGCCTCCTCCCTCTCCGACAGTAGCGCCAGCACTCCCCCAAGGAAGCTTTTTGCGACCCCCAAGTGCCAATTATGGAAAAGGTCAAACGCCCAAATCGAAGCTGTTTGGCCGTCAGGATGAGGAAGTTGGGCAAACGGGGAAGGTGCCTGAAAAGGATTTTGCTCATGCATTGTCGGAAGCCATAAAGGTCGGCGCGTGTTGATTTGTTCGAAAGGAATATCAGTTTGGCCAGCACGGCAAAGATGGCACACACCAAGAAAGCTCTTTTGAGTGAGCTGTTTCTGCACGTTGTTGAAAGACCTCGTAAACTTTCCACTCTTGTGCAGCCACGGCCAGTCTCCCACAATGTTGATGGCCAACATGTAAAACTTGTTCCCATTCTTGTCCTGCACACCAGTGGTGCACATAAACTTGGCCTCTGAAGCAGCCAGTTGCATGAGAGATTCAAAAACTTCTTGGTGATCCCCGGTGTAGTCGGCCTTCCGCACGGCAGCCAACAAGAAGCGATTTGTGTAGGTATGGCCCACAAAATTGGGCAGCATCTTCAAGTAGGGTTTGCGCACACCTGACTTTTTGGTTTGCTGATTGCTAGGTCGCAAACCTCTTCCGAGCACACTGTGAAATGATGTCACAAGGAATGCTGAATGTTTGCGTCCTCGGCCCTCATCCCCATGAAAATACACTGCAGCACATCTTGATGTATCAATGTCCATGCTATGAATAGGATGTGTAGGAAATTGACGCTTGAAGCGGGTCCAAAAGGCAGACCAAATGTCGCATTCTCTCTTGGCATCGGGCCGCACCAGACCAGTGAGCAGGTGCCAGCAGTTATTCTGCAAGAGGAACTGGCACCAATCCCTCAAACGTAGGATCGGGATATCCAAGGCAGGGTCACTGGTTTCCAGCTGTGACATGGGTACATCCAAAGCAAGGCCAAACTGCTTGACGAGAACCCTTTGGGCATCCCTCTCAGAGTTTGCTAAGCTGCACTTGGCTAACTGCACAAGGCCCCCCGATTGCGATGCAACCTCCGGGCCCACGTCAGACACAAAATCCCGGGCCGTGGCGATTGCCCCAACGCAGGATGCCTCGGCAAACAAGACATGCTTGGCACGTTGTGTGCGCTTGGAGGTTCATTTGATTCATTTGCATTCCATGGGCCAAGTGCTCGCAACTTATCATGAATGTCGCTTGAAGCGTTGCGCACTTCTTTTTCCCCAGGGCTTCGCCAACCGCAAGATAGAATTCAAACTGCTGTCAAACCTACAAGTGTCCTCAAGCTCAAAACAAAAACAGAGTTTAACCACCACGCCCCAGCCTAATTTGTTCGGCCCTGGGCGGGGGGGGATATTTGAAGGATCTATACACGACATATGTACAGAACGTGTCTTCGCCCGAGGTTGATGAATGCCGGACATTGTCGCCGCCCGACTTCACGTTCCGGCAGCCAGGACGACCTGGGATGGGCAGGGCTACATCGTTTAATTGACAGGGTCGGGATTGGAGGTTTGGGATGTGAATCGTTATTCCATGCAACTGTTCCGGAAAGGACACTGCAATTGCAAATAATGTGGCGTCCCCAAACAAGAAAACTAAAACATTCAGGTGAGCGACCCCCATACAGTTCAATCAAAGACGCCTCCAGCATAGCTGGGCTGAAGGGCTCTGAAGTTTGATACAAAACCACCATCGAAGTCCATTTGTCAGGCTGGCGGATGTACCCGTACAAGGAGTTGGTCCAGCGCCACTGGGGATCGTGTGTAAAGCCAAACTTGTAGATCATAGGCGAATGTTTTGAAGAGAGCGCATCAAACACTTTCTTCGCATGTTGCAGCACGCCGCCTGCTGAAATCCCAGTTTTCGGAAGCCGGTAATCAATGACTTTCACATTGACTTTCACATGCTGCTCTGGCACAGCATGGGTTGAAGCTTCTCCGCCAACTCCAGCTGCGGGTGGCCTCTCAAAAGGCGCTCTTGGGCACCCCTCATGTTCTGGCGGCGCAGCAGCCGCTTCAGGATTGGTAGTGTTGAGCATCCGCTGCTTCTCGCCTCTTGTCCATGGGAAAGGCGCCTCATTTTCCTTACAAGTTTTACGAGGATGCATGCGTGGCTTTCTTTGTCAGATTCATATATGTGTAAAAACTGTGAGCTACCCGAAGATTTGAACAAGGAAGGGGACAAATCGTTGACAGGCTTCTGACCGATGACAAGTGAGTAAATCCCAGAGCTCGTCATCGGGAGTTTCATGGCTCATTGGCTCACACATCACACGTGAAAGCTTGTTCCTTTGCGGGCACCCCTTTGAGGTTCCCCAGAGCCAATGCTACGATGCAATCAAAATATGAGCAAATCAGATACTGGTGTGTTGCACGCAAAAGAATACTGGTGTGTTGCAATCAGAGGTATATGGC